TAGTTTAGACTTGGTGGTCATACTTCATTGTAGTTTATACATTTCGATATCTACTACTACTGACCAGTCTAGACTTGGTGGTCATACTTCATTGTAGTTTATACATTTCGATATCTACTACTACTGACCAGTCTAGATTTGGAGGTCATACTTCATTGTAGTTTATATATTTCGATATCTACTACTACTGACCAGTCTAGACTTGGTGGTCATACTTCATTGTAGTTTTAGACTAGTCAGTAGTAGTAGATATCGAAATGTATCTACAATGAAGTATGACCACCAAGTCTAGACCAAAAGATTAGGCTATAAAGGTAGAAAAAATTACCTTTACTCTCCAGATAACAGTCAACATTTCACCATTGCATCATCATCATGGCTAGTAGAATTTGTATTGTTAACTCTAGTGAAGCCACAATGGTGACAAAATGTTGGCGGAAATAAAGTTTTTTATCATCCTCGGGAGAGTAAAGGTCATTTTTCTTAACTTTATTGCCAAAATGACTAAACCTCTCCAGCATGCACTACAAATTTTGAAAAACAAAAAGATAAGGTTATTAAAGGAGTATTTAAGGTGGAACTAAGAAAAATTAGCAATATTTCAACAATTCAAATAAATTGTTTTAAAAGGGATATTAAGAGATTTTATAAATAAAAATGAAGACATTTATAAAACCACATAATTAACTTATGATTATAGAAGTGTTTTACAATAGTCTTGAAGTAGGTAAATTGTACATGTTTAAAAGTGACTGTGCAAGATGTGTTCTTTTTCCATACCTGAGAAGCCTCCTCTTCAGAAAAGATATGGGATTGTCTACAAACATTTACATCCCCCTCACACATATTAAGAGATTCATTTTCATCAACTGGCATCACTGGAGCCATTGGATTTTCTCTTCCAGCCCCTGGTAAGGTACAATCTTGAAGAGCCATCATAGAGCCTAGTCTTGTCTGAAACCTCAATATTAGTGCTGCAAACAAATTAAAACAGGGGATTCAAAACTTTCAGATATCTTCGTGAAAAGTCATTTCTAAGAATAAAAATTTATTTTCACAGAAGGAAAAATTAAAGAATTTAGCAAAATCAGTGATACTAAAAATGTTAAGTTTTATTATTGCTAATAAAACGTTTTTCATGAATAAATCATTAATCTAGTCTATGTAAGCAATAAATAGGCCTGTTCTCTGTACAAACTATTTACTGTCAAGGGTGTAGCCCCTTTATTGCAAACCTGCAGACAGTTACACTTCCGTTTGTTTCAGATGTATTGAAGATAACCATTCAAGTTTATCATAATAGTACCGACCTATCCCAAAGAATAAGAAACAAACAATTCTGGGAACACGTGTGAAACTTTTGTTTTTACTTTCGTCACACTTAATTCGGAAACTAGATTTCTGGCATTTGGCAAGGGTCCCTTAACGCCCTCTACTCTGAATGGTCACACATAGTTAAGGACCTAGCTACGCTCCTGACTGTATCCATTTCCTTCAAATTACACATTTTTCTACTAACCCATTACTACAACTAATATGTTTTCTCAATGAATAATAAAAGCTAAATGTAAACAATCTTTACAAAATAATAAAAATGGACAAATGTTTTATGGGTTGGTAGTCTGTGTGATCCTTTACGTCTAATTATTAATTAGTTACTTATTATTATTACTGGATACTAAGTATTAATTAGTCTGCTAGGTTGATTGGGTGTGTTATCAATCAGGTGGATGTAGAAAGTTTCTGTTACCATTCTTCTCCATACACCTTACTACTTATTAATATAGAAGTCAGCAAAACCTGGATATCTCTCATGGAAGCATTTGAATAGTTAATCAAATTCCTAATAAGGGAGATCCCTGGAAATGTGGACAGCAGTTTTTATATCAGTAAGACCCAGGACATAACCACAAACACAGCCCTTCTCGGTAGCTCCCTGAAGATTATTAGCAAAGTCGTAATTAATACCTTATAATAATAATAAAATAGCAACTAATTAATAATTATGCTTACGTGATCATTTAGCCTACAAAATAATCGTTTGTCAAATTTCACGCAATGCTAGTCAAGAAATATCTGCACTAGCAGTCCCTAATTTTGAAGTGAACAACTAGAGGGAAAGCAGCTAGTCAACATTACACACTACCAACTCTTGGGTTAACCATCACATTATAACACCCCCAAGACTAAAAAGGCAAACATGTTCAATGACAGTATTCGAATTCACGACCAGCAGATTGCAAGTCGAGCTCCCTAACCACCAGGTCACAAAATAACAGAGAGAGAAGCACAAGAACTAATTGGATTAACTGGAATTACTCTGAACCACCATCTTATTTTACACTCTATGCACTAACTAGGTTCTTTGAAAGCTGAATATCAAGGTTCTGGTCATTTCAAGCAGAATAGCACTTTATGTGCACATGGGTTAAACGGCCAGTTCAGAGACCCCTAAAGTTGTTTCTAATTTTGAACTACTGACCAGAGGAAAGATAGCTACTCACCACCACAGGATTAAATATATTTGTCATGTTTATACCACACTCACGGCTGAAAGTGGAGAGCATGTTCAGCGACACTTTAGTACAAACCTTGTTCTTTTCGATCTGCAATTTCGTAAGCTAATCACTGGACCACACTCAGTCCTATTGGTTGTTAAGTTTGAAATGTGTTGGGGCTCCATTTGGATCGGTCACGATTTTTCAGTACTTATTATCTAACACACATTTAATTCACTTAAGTTTTACCACTACAAGCTTCTTCCACGTATAAGCCCTATCAATGTTTTCGGTACCGGATTAGATCGTTAATGATAACATTTCATTTCAATTAATACCATCTGTGCGCAAACGTTAAACTTTACCAAATCATTATATAATTACAAGTTTTTACTCCTTTATTTATCACTATGTCAAATATTTATATATATTTATCCTACTAACGTATTTGATGTTTTAAATTTGAAGCTTGTAAGAAACTGTCAAAACAAACACAAATATAACTCGAAATTATAAAATAAAGGTACTAAAATTATAACTGAAAAATATTCTTAAACTTTTTTATTCAAGTTTATGTCGCGATTCACATCCTAGTGATTAACGTGAGAAGCTGAGGATGAGGGGTCTTGTTACCGTAAAATCGCGCCCCACAATATGGGGCCGTGATTGCGTTAAAATAGTGACAGTGAACTACCACTATTCAATTAGAACAGCCCGAAGTTACTACATTAACCTTTAGTCTTTCATATCAATTACATATATATATACATCCTCTGCGCGCATATTCGAAGCAAACATAAAATAAAAATTTAAATTGTAAAATTTGTAGAATAATAAAAGATAGTTGAAATGAAATATTATCAAACAAATATTAAATCAAGTATTATAAGGCTTTAATTATTTATTTATAAAAACTATTACATATTATTTTACTTAAATATTTAACAACCAGTAGATGTCGCAAGCTGCAAGAAGATCCAGAACCACAAGTTTATTTCGCAATTAGTTCCAATAAAACAAACAAAATCCTAAGTTATTACTTCTATGTTAAATTCACTTAATAAAAAGCAGACAAATATGTTGATAAATATCTGTACTTGATGAGGATAGGCCTCGTGCTAATTCTAGCAGGTGACGTAATAGGTACATATTTTCGCGTGCGAGTATTATTTTTTTTCACAAAATCACACAGCAGAAAACATTTACTCGTTCGGATAGTGAAACTAAAACAAATATCTATGATAGAGATGATCAGTAACTGTCACCAGATATTGATCAAACAATCACTTTTTTTGTTTCACTTGAAGTTGGTCACAAGTTCAACTTGCCAGCAGACCTTGAGAGAAACGTAGAGGAAATGTGAGGTACCTGTATACGCCCACGTGCTGTAGACAGTTATCTGTTTCCACGTATACTAGCAGGTACTTTTGAACACTCGTTTGAGCAAATCAACGATTAGGGGTCAACTGTATATTGACATTAAAAGATCGGAAGCCGTGTGCGGTTTCAAAATCTGTTGTGCAAGCTGCAATCTAAATCTAAAAATATTTATAAATACATATACTTTTGTACACTCTTGATGGTCCTTCGAGATTCTTTAAACGAATCTGGTCAATCTCACGTGATGTCAAACGGATAAGCGTCTGTTAGTTGTTTCCAAGTGGTGGATATATTCGAAATCGACTGACTACTTTTGAGTTATATACGAAAATAGCCTGAATTAGGGCTAGTTTAGAAGTGAATTAAAATTAAAGTGGCGTATGCCTAAGTCTAGACTGGTCAGTAGTAGTAGATATCGAGATATATAAACTACAATGAAGTATGACCACCAAGTCTAGACTTGTCAGTAGTAGTAGATATCGAAATGTATAAATTGCACATGACACGTAATATAAGTTTAACAGAAATACCTGACAATTAATTATTGACCAGAAACACTGCACATGACACGTAATATAAGTTTAACAGAAATGCCTGATAATTAATTATTGACCAGAAACACTTGCACATGACACGTAATATAAGTTTAACAGAATATATTTTATATTTAATATAAGTTTAACAGAAATACCTGACAATTAATTATTGACCAGAAACACTGCACATGACACGTAATATAAGTTCAACAGAAATGCCTGACAATTAATTATTGACCAGAAACACTGCACATGACACGTAATATAAGTTTAACAGAAATGCCTGACAATTAATTATTGACCAGAAACATTGCACATGACACGTAATATAAGTTTAACAGAAATACCTGACAATTAATTATTGATCAGAAACATTGCACATAACACTTAATGACTAACATAATTATAACAACTTATAAGTGAAAATACAAAAGAATTTAATGTGCCAACCACAATATATCTGCTAAAAATTCAAAGGAAATGCTTGACAATTACTAATTATACAGATACCATGCAACATTCAACACAAGTTTTCATAAACTTGTGACAATCACTGATCTGGAAAACAAAATGTGACACCCAATGTAAGTTTATTTCAAAAGCAAAGTTTGTTAATTACTGATTAAAAAAGATCACATATGGCACTTACTATTAATATGTTTCACAAGCAAGGTTTAGTCAGGATAGCTACTGGAAATCTAACTACAGAAATTACTATCCTACTTATTACGTGCACTTGTTTAAAATATACTTACAGATTTTAACTAAGCCAAAATCTGGTGGAGATTCTGACTGATCTGGGAACATTTGGATCTGACATGCTTCAATATCATAATAGGCTGCACCAATTTTCCCTCCTGCCCAAACTATACTGAGATAAGACTAGAATAAAAATTGTCAGTTGATATTGATAAGAAAAAGCATGATAGCCCAATACAAAACAATGTGCTTGATAAAGATTTGACTAAAACCTTAAGCTCAATACAAATTATGAGAATCTCAGTCTGCTTTAAATAATAACCAACTACACAAAAATGATTCTACTATAGTTAAAAATTCACAAACCATATATTTCAAATATTTATTGTTCAACATGATTAAATGTGAGTATACTATAACCATGGGTGTGTCCTTCAACATGGAATTGGTCTGTTAAAAACAAAACTAGCAAATTAATTAATTATTAGAAACAAACAAATTGTTGATCTTCCCACATGAATGAACTAACTTAATATCATAGCACTGTTATAAATAATGTAAAGACTTTCACTTTCAGTTAAGACTAACTTCATATTATGGCATTCTATCAACAATGTAAAGACTTTCACTTTCAGTTAAGACTAACTTCATATTATGGCATTCTATCAACAATGTAAAGACTTTCACTTCCAGTTAAGACTAACTTCATATTATGGCATTCTATCAACAATGTAAAGACTTTCACTTCATATTAAAAAATGAACTCAAAGTTACAACAATTTTATCAATATTAAGATTTTCACTTCAGATTAAAACAGAAACCTTGATACAAAATATTGTTATCAACAATGTGAAGAAGTTTATAAACTTGAATTTTTTATCTCAACACATGACACGTAATATAAGTTTAACAGAAATGCCTGACAATTAATTATTGACCAGAAACAGGAAAATGTGCTGCATCTAGCTACAACCAACACCAGATCCACTGGGAACTGACACAGCAGATGGTAGGAAGTGGGAATGCAAACCTAGGGTGAATCTCAAATCCAGAATACAATTGCCAAAAAGGCCCTCAAAAAGTAAGAAAAGTTGAAAAAAGCAACCTTTCACAATTCCAAAACACAAAAATTTACATAAATAATAAAGAAAAATTAAATCAATAGTATAAAGGAAAACTTCAACAAATCTGCAAGCAAAAACCAACACATCTGTACAGTACTACTGCCAATCAAGAAGTGATTCACAATTGCAAATGTGAAGAGAGCACTGGTTACAATAGGAGTTGTGTCACGCTCCTATTGGTGGAAAGTTGCTGCATAATCACTTGCAGGTGGATATATAGAAGCAAGAGGTGGAAGGCTAGTAGCAAGCATTGAAAATTTGTGCTGATAGAGGGTAGTAGTGATAATCAAGAAAAGCTAAGATATCACATTGAAATGAAATTTACTCATGTGAAAAAAATTACATGTAAGTTGGCATACTGCTTATGTTCTATATTGAAACACTTAGGAGGAAAGAACAAAAAAATTATGCTATTTAATTATGAACTATTTTGAAACACTCAGGAGAAAATAATGAAAAATTATGCTGCTTAAGACTCATAACATGGGTCAATAAACATTCAAAAAAATGACCGGTATTTTCCATGTTTAAAACTTTTAATGAAAGAAGCAAGCTTTTATTTATATTGCAATAGCTTCAAGATGTTGATTACATTTTTGAATTAACCTACACAGAACAAGAACAGGAGACACAGGTAAGGTACAAACTACACTTTTAACATTATGTCTGAACTAAAACAAACTTCTATTTCTATTCTGTATAAGTTAATTAAGAACTGGAACGACAGTTGCTAGACCTGATAATGATGATGCAGCTTTGACAAAAGATGGCTAAATTAAGTATTTAAACATGGAGACCATGTGACAGTTCTTCTTCAAGTGAAAAGCTTTCCATACAGTTGCATCACAGAAATCTAATTAAAGCTAACATAAACAAAATGGTTTTAATAACCTACTTTAGTCAAATATTATAAGTGTGTCATTTCAGGAACAGTTTCAAAATAACATTTAAGAAAATGAGAAACAAAAAGGTTTCTAACGGTCATCAGTGTTGAAATCTGTTCCTCTAAGAGAGAAGTTTCTGATAATGACGACACTGTGCTTATAAATTATCTGCTTGGAGTAGAAAATAAAGTAACTGACCCTTCACCAAAATAATACGATGTATGGAAACTTACCATATTCTTTAATTAGTTTCAGGAGTCTTTCATCCGTTTTTGAGTTGAGTACAATGCAACTAGGATCAACTTGGGCTATTACTGTAGATTAAAAATAATTATTGTTAGACAAGTCAGCGTTTAAATTCAAAAAATGCTTTACTGAAATGTTTAAATAATGATTGTATAACTACAATTCATAAATGTTTCTGTTCATAAATAGAGTTGAGGATTAACTTGATTAATCATTTACCTATGACACTGATTACACGAGTATCATTTATAATAATTAATTCACTGAAATTAGGATTAATTTGATTAATGTCATAAAAATAATCAACTAAACAAAATCAGTATTTCTGAATTATTACAGTTTTTGATTATTCTGACTATCCAAGTAACTGAAGTATTGTCATTATGATTTCTCACTATCATTTTTGATTACTTCAAGGTTGTTCAACTTAATCAACTAGTGTCACAATTGACAAAATAACCAACTAACCAAAATCAGTGTTTCTGATTATTATTATAAATCAACTACCAAACTATTCAAGTCTCACTAATTGAATTTAATTGATTAATAAGCTCGGCAATCACTCAATTATCAAATTCCACTAATCGCCCAACTCTGTTCACATAGAATGTCTCATGTAAAACAGAAACTAAGTAAATGTGAAAAATTTTTAAAAGGAATTTGTAGCAGTGATAGAGCTTTATAGGTAGTTCAACAAATCAACTCACAACATCAAAGAATACAAGAAAGAATCACATGCATAAGAAAGGAACCAGGTAGATATACAGAAATTCTAATAAACTAAAGTAATTTCATAGTCAGTAACTTTGTAACAGTAACAGTTACAGTAACTTTGATTCCCTTGGTCTCTCAGAGTTATTTTCTTAGATTACTCTGAGAGACCAAGAGAATCAAAGTTACTGTTTCTAAAAGCTTTCAGAGGTTTGGGTTGCATGTACAACATAATTTTTTTTTTTTCCATTTTAGATAATTTTTCAATAACAGTTATATCATCTATCATTTTAGTAAAAAGACTGTACATACTTGGTTCAGCTCAGTGACTGTATATTTTGAAATTTAGTTGGAAAAAGCAAGCATATTTAGAGAGGTTAACATTTTCTTAAATTGAAAATATATTTCCAATAATACTTACTTCCCCTCACACTTAAAGCTATTACTGAACTGCCAAGGTTTCTTCCTTTGCCCATCTAAGCATTGCACTGATTTTTTCTTACTTGCTCCAGTCTTTTATACTCCACTTAATTGCCCTTAGCAATATTTGTCTTGTGGTACTCTCCACCTACGTCAATGTGCCCTCTATCCCGGTACTGTATATAAGCACCTCATTCACATAATGTTATCACTTTTTTTAGACTGACTCAACCCCAGTCTCTAACACCAGCTCTTAGTGGGGAGGAAGGGGACGGGAGAGTGCGAAAGGAGATAAGTATTATTGGAAATACATTTTTGATATAAGAAAATGTTAACTTTCAAAACATACTTCTCTCACACTACAGCTAGAATCCCACATTAATAAAGTGGAGAGGCTGGTGAGGGCATTATCCATACAGAAAGCATCTGCATAGATCATGGGTGTGTCAATAGAAGATTGGCACCCTAGTGGCGGAGCCACAATACATCCAGACCAAGTATGCTCTTCACCCGGAACTTAAGTCCTGTACTTTGGATGGAATTTTACATGAGTTGTCATCACTACTGCTCAGGTCCCAACCAAGTAGCTGAGGTTTCAATACTCAGGGTTGGAATTATAGGACCATGGTCCCTATATCCACATTGGTGGCTAGGGTAATTGGACCGCAATCTATCTTTCTATATATATATATACTTATGAGTGGGTCCCAACCTGCAGCCATAGAGTAATGCATTCTGCGCCACCAGAATCACAGGAATCAGATGATAGTTAACATTGAAGTGGACAAAATTTCTCCTCAATCTGAAGAAGTCCGAAATGCAACACCCAGGTTTGGAATGACAAGATCATGTATGCCTTACTCAAACTGAGGAAACAGAACTCAGAACAATGCACCCTCTTCCATGAACAATGTGCTGAACTAATATCGATCAAAAAGAAAAGCCACGCTTAACCCAACCATATAGTTGAGAGTTAAATCTGAACCGGTATTATGAGTAGGTTCCTACACAGACTGATGCCTCTCCTACAGACATATGAGAAAAAACATCCAGGGACCTGGGTAGGAGGGCCACCAACTTTGCCCTCTTCTCAAAGAGTGGAGGAATTCACTCTAACACTCTGGATGAAAAGCCTCTGTCCACCACTGAAAACCAGGTGTGTTAAGGACTCCCTAGCTCCACTAGTAGAATCTGGATGGGGGGGAGGGGGGTAATGTGCACTGAGGAGTACTGAGGAATAGTGCTCTGGAAATGGTGTAATAGGTGAACCAAGTTCCCTAAATTTTTAAAAGCAAGTCAACCCCAATCTATTCAATTCAATGATCGGCAAGGACAGGCAGCGTCCCCTTATGCTTTACTCATGATAGTCTCTGGGTGGTGGTCCAGCATGGTACAGTAATACCACCCAGTCAGCCATTAGGTAGTTTTATGGAACACCTCATATCTACAGAGCTTGTTGCAACCTGTATAAAGTATATTGAATTAGTGGTTGCTAGTGTGGAATTGGTTTGCTAAAATCCCACCTGCCGGGCAACAGTCACCACAGAGTAAGATCCTGTGAAAACAAGGTAAAGGACCCTGAAAGGTAGCAAAGAAAATACTCACCATTCTGTATAATCTAGCAGATGTGGTTAAGATAGCTACAAGGGGTAGGCAAAAACCCTCAGATGAAGATACTGCCAGATCATGCAAGTAATGAGAGATAAAAGTATTATGGGAGGTTCACATACCAGCCCGCACAATGTTCTCCAGCAAGCAATTCAACAGGGCCGTTAAGGACAATGTGCCAAATCTAATTAGACATGACATACAAGATTCCTCATCTTCAAAGAGAGCCCAGAATAAAAGTCATTGTCCAGCATCTCTAAAGGCATTAGTGTGGGCAACAAAACCTTCAAGACCCTCACTGAACATGACAATAATCTAAATCTGATCCAAAAAAAGAAGTGAGATATTGTGATCAGATGAATCAGTGAAAAGAATTTATCCCCTTCCCTGTTTGACAGTGTCTTTGGTAAGAAGAATCAGTCTGAGGAAGTACATAAAATTAGAAAGCGGTCTGTGGTCAAACAGCACAAACCACTCCTACTGGCAATGTCTGTAGGTCAGCAGCATTGAAAAAGCACCATTCAGATAAACGTGATACAAGGTATACGAGAATCAGGTCACAAACAGGTGTTGAGAAAGGGCATGTAATGTAACCTTAATATACCAGTTAGGTAACTGGAATGGTCATTTGGAATCAAGGACATAAAGCAACTTGAGGAATCCAGAGAGCACTGGAGACTCAAAGAATAGTTTGTTGTATCAAATGGTAATCAATAAGGCCACCTTATACAGGGTGATTGTGGAAGATGCAAAAACCCTTGCCAAAGAGCCAGGTCCAAAATTCGAGTTATGGTTGGCACTTCTAATCAAAGTTAGTTCAACCTCCTCTCCATAACACCATTGCCGATATCCATGTCATTTCCATTGATAAATGTTCATCACAGAACTAAGCAAAGACTGAGACAGATACATGACAAACTTAGAAATTAACCCCCAATGCCATGCAAAAGACTGCATAAACTCTATGCCTGAAGCTTGAGCTTCTGGATAGCCAGGTGTACCATGTCAGATCATGGCTGCCTCCACAGAGATGGCCTAAGAAGAAGTGGAAGAGGTGGACACTCCAGAAGGTACCACAGAAGCAGAAACCAGGGTTTAGCTGCCATTCTGGTACTATTAACAGGATCCAACAATGGGTTGGAACAAATCATATTTAGTACCCTGGGTAACATATGAATTGGAGGGAAGGCCTAGAGTTGTAATCCTGTCCTGTCCTGATGGAATGCATATGCACCCCATCCCTGAAGCATTTGTGAAAACATGGATTGGTAGATGAACCCATATCTTAGTAGTGTCCCAACTCAACAACCATTTGAGATAGAAGAATGATCCCAATCAAGGAACTGAGGAATCCAGTAAATCAATGTTTATGATTCCTTGGTAGCATAAAGACCACTAAAAAGATCTCTTGCACTCTTGTTCCAAAGGCATGAGGGATTTGAATAATGCCCACATTTCCAGAAGAGAAAGAACCATCTGTGCAATGAGAAAAGGAGAGGTAAGAGTCGGGCTTCCTGTTACATAGCGTGGAGCCAGATCAGCGTGACTGAGAGACGAGATGAAAAATAAAAGATACCCTGAAGGATGACATATCGAATTGGAGGAAGAATTAATGTCTCAACCCTGAGAATGAAGCCTGCCTTGGTTGTTTCTGAAAGTAGAATCAGGACGTGATGTGATGTTCTGACAATTGACAAGATGGTGCCAACAGTAACCAGTAGTCTATGGAATGGTGTGTGCACAGTGCGATGAAATGGAGGTGATGAGAAAAAACTCGTACTATATGGCAGAACCCATGTGAAGCCAATGCGAGTAGTAAGGTGAAAACCTGGAACTACAGTATCTGACCCTTGTGCACAAAAAATGCCGATAGTGGTGAGCAACATGGCAATGTTCAGAAAAGGCTCGAATACAACAAACTTGAACATTCATAATCTCAGTAAAAAAATGTCGACTCAGATTGAGGAATGAGTAACTTGTGAACCTTGGAGAATCTAGACATTGATATAGACGAAAAAGATTGAGGACTGGACACCAATATCCTGTCTTTTTAGGCCCAACAACCAATGGGAATAAAACCTCGCAAGAATTACCATGACTCTCTCACTACCTCCAGACCAACCAAACTCTAATAGCCCTAGAACTAAGTTCCAAGTCCCAAGGATCTGCAGGAAATGTAAACCCTACCAGTTGGGTGGAAAATAGTAGTGAAGATGTGAACTGAATGACTAATCTTGACTCAAGGACCTGCAGTCCTCCTGGATCTGTGTTAAGGTTATCATACATCCAGAAAATGTAAGAGCCAAGCCCCCACAGACTCTGAAGGCAAAAAATAATCACCGACACCACTGGTGGCAATCTGACCAAGCAGTGGAACCCTTGGATATAGAAAGAATCTATTCTGAGTACCAATGTACAGAGGAACCCACAAATAGGGGTGGAACTATGACCCTTGTAGGAGCCAATGAAATTTGAGACACCAATGCCAACAGAGATGGATGTAAAAGCTGACAATTGAACCAATGTGCATAACAATGGTTCCAGCTTGTCATCAATGAAGCTGGTGATTCTAAGAGTTTTCCAACAAAGTGAAAGGAAAACAAAATGTTGGATTTTACAGTTGTAAATCTGTAGACTTACCCTGTCCCATCAGGGGACATTGATCTATTCAGGTTAACTACAAACTGTGCCTTGGAACCGGGAACTTCAAGCAGCAGATGTGTTATGTGAGAGTCAGAAAAAGCTTCAACCTGAAGGTGGTAGGCGAAATCACAAAGTTCTGACAAACATGTTGGATAAGGCATAACTGTCCCTTCACGTAATTGTAAAATAAACCTCCCAGCATGATCTACAATGTCCATGGATGGAGAGAAAACTAAATATTCACTCCCAGACCTTCAAGTAAGGTGCAGTTTCAAAAGCAACCAAAACATCACATTCTTGATGAGCCAACAGAAGAAAACAAATCAAAGGCAACTTATTCCAAAGTGGCCTACTTTTTGTTTTTATGTCATTTAAGGACTGTGTTGATTACCTTTGAATGGAACAACATTTGGTCAGATGAGTTTGTTTTGTTAGAGCAAAGCAACATTGGGTTATCTGTTGTGTCAACAGACTAAAAATAAGATGCAGGAAAAAGCAATCTAAATTCTCCCCCAGACCTCCCCCCCCCCCCCCAATTGTTGTGCAACACTATATGTCAGACGTGGGATAGGAAAGACCTGATTTACCAAAAATAATAATTTGTGAATTCACACAATAAATCAATAAATCAGCTTGGCATATGGAATTTTTTTTTTAAAGAAAATCAACTAGGTAACACGGAGAATGATCAAAGTATCTCCGAACAATCGTAATACTGGGAAACCAATTGGTGATGCTTTGTTGAGAAAAAGTGATACCATTATCTGAATGAAGTGCTTATATACAGTCCCAGAATAGAGGGTGCATTGACATAGGTGGAGACAAATATCACCAAGAGCAATTAAGTGGGGTATAAACAACTAGAGCAAGGGAGAAAGAATCAGACCAGTGTCCAGATGGGCAAAGGAAGAAACCTTGGCAGTCAAGTAATAACTTTAAGTGTGAGTGGAGGTAAGTATTATTGGAAATATATTTTCAATTTAAGAAAATGTTAACCTCTTTAAATGTGAGAGGAGGTAAGTATGTTTTGGAATTAAGAATTTTTTCACGGATTCTGAGTGATCAAAAAATTACATGTGACACTTGAAGCAAGTTTGACAATTAATTACTGACCAGAAACATTGCACATGACACGTAATAAAGTTTAACAGAAATGCCTGACAATTAATTATTGACCAGAAACACTAGGCTTGTGTACAGCTGAGTATCTTCTTCCTACCGTGGACTGGAAGTACCATACCTATTTCTGCCAGGTTTTGGACCGGAGATGTCATCCTGCCAGGGCTTTCCACCCTCCTACCATCTACTGGAGGTGGGTTCCCTGTTACAAACATAAAAGATGGGAAAACAAGAAGGAAACCCAGAATATGTATGACCAATTAATGTGACCCCTAGGTGTCGAGTGGCTAGGGTGTGACAGACAGATCCGTGGTAGGTAGAGGATCACCTATCTCTTCACCTCGAAATGGGAATTGGTAGGAAAGACGAGCTTCTGTACCAAAATCCGTCTCCACATGAGCACATTTCCAACACAACGAAAACACCAGATCAACCGTAACCAATCCCCTCTTCATATTTGCACTCATTAATCACTTTGAGATTGGTCAGAATACCTACACCATATATCATCAGAAGTAGGGAGGCTGGGTGGAAAATACATTTTCAGTGTAGAAAAATCTTAACTTCTGATACGATATCTTACCTCCACTCACAAAATAGCTAGAACCCCACAATGAACTGGTGGAGAGCCAGTAAAAAATTATCCCCCTTTTGGAAGCACTTAGAGAGAGAAGAGGAGGTGTGGAACCAAAATAGAAAACATCACACCTCAGCAGGAAACTGCACTACATCTGATCCAGGTATATTCTTCGCTCCTTTATAAGATCTAAATTACCTAATATACAGTTAAGATCTAAATTACCTAACACACAGTTAAGATCTAAATTACCTAATATACAGTTAAGATCTAAATGACCTAATACACAGTTTAGATCTAAATTACCTAATATACAGTTTAGGAATAATAAATCCTGTCTTCCTAATTAATAAATTAAAATTCTGGTTGGCTAATAAGAATGTTATGTTTTCACAGGTTCTTATAGTTTATACACAAATCTTCTCTATTGGTGGAGAGTCTGAATCAAGACACTGCTTGGCAGAATTTTTCAGAATCATCACTGATACAAATCACACTGTTAACCTGTTAGACAAGCTTTGTATCCAGTAGTTCAACTGATTAACAAGCATCTTAAAATCAAAATTAACTGGTTGTACAGTTTTAAAATGTACTTACTACAGGCTCTGATGTCCGTTAACAATAATACTCCAACATTATTATACTCAACCCTTACAGTAATATTAGTATACCAGATTTTAGTTTTATTTGGTTTATAAATCCTTCTTTTTCATTTTAAGATAATTAGTTTGGCCAAGGAACAGTCTGTACATATTGGATACATACAAATAACAGGCTTTCTGGTTAATAGTTAATGTTCTAGGCCCAAAATATTGCTAACGCAGGCATTTGAAGAGATGCACATAACCACCACTAACCACCCATGTTTTAGTTTAACTTAAAGAAGACATAACAGTAAATCTACAATTTGTTGCCAGTATTACAGCAGAAAAATTATATGCAAACAAAAATACAGTTTCAGTCTTTGACATTACCAGCTGATGTTGTTTAAGGAAACAAAATGTTGTTGTGATATTTCTGCAATAAGTATGTATTAGAATTACTGACATATCAAAACCTTCCTTTTTCTCTCTCTTCGTATTGAATGGGAGTTTGATAATTCATAAAAACCTACTGAAAACACTGAAATATTGTACAATATGCACAGCAATATTCGATTATTCCTCAATTACTCAATGACTACCGTTTTTTGTACTATCCACTTCTGATAAACATCATTCACAAAGTTTGCATTTTCCTACACTGAAAATGTATTTCCGATAGATACTTACACCCTGTCACAAAACAGCTTTTCTCGACTAGCACTGCCCTCTATTGGTGCAAATTTTCAGTGCTTGCCACTAGCCTTCCACCTCCCACTTCTGCACATCCACATGCAAATAATCATGCAGCATCTCTCCATCAGTAGGAGCGCGACACAACTCCCATTGATTCAAAAGGCTACAGCATTTTTAAATAGACCACCACATCTCAACCTTCAAAAAGTACCATTTTTTCTTGATACTTGATAATGTATATGTAAGGCTAATGTCAGTATCTATACCAGCAGACAGTTCATTACACCATGTACAATTCTAAATCACCTAATATACAGTTTAGGTCTAAATTACCTAACACACAGTTAAGATCTAAATTACCTAATACACAGTTTATATCTAAGTTACCTAATACACAGTTTAGATCTAAATTACCTAACACACAGTTAAGATCTAAATTACCTAATACACAGTTTATATCTAAGTTACCTAATACACAGTTTAGATCTAAATTACCTAATACACAGTTAAGATCTAAATTACCTAATACACAGTTTAGATCTAAATGACCTAATACACAGTTTAAACCTTCCTGATACAATAACAACACTATAATCTGACCTTTACATTACAATAACCTTCCTGATACAATAACAACACTGTAATCTGACCTTTACATTACTATAACCATTCTAATACTGCAACAATGTTATCTAATCCTTACCTGTAGGTATTTTCATCCATCCATAAAATCTTCTCCCTGAAATTATAGAAAACAAATATTATACATCTAACTTCAAATAACTTTTTTTTGAAAATCTCACCAGATGTTGAAACCCTAGAATTATCAACTGAGTCCATGTGGACTCCACTAGGTTCTTAACCACATTTGTCTAAACTACGTGTCCACCAAGATTTAGAAATACTGTCAATACTGTAATCAATTCCACTAAATACTGTTGAGGCCTATGTGTTTTACCTGGAAAATGAGTAACTTCAAATAATCTTATTGGTTAGTTCTTTAGAGTGAGTTCTGTAACAGGCCAAACCATAGTATGATAGAATATGTGGACCCCATCAATGTTGAATGGTATACAACATGAGACAATAATTTGTCTAATTTAGAATGGTACATTACGATTTCCCAATTTGCAGAAATTTACAATGTTTGGAGATTATACATCTTTCATGATAGAAACTGTCACAAAAGAGCCTATATATATATATATAAGTTCATTACATCATATCAAAACAATTTTGGAGCCTCACCACATTATTACATTCCATGTTCTTATGTCAATTCATATTCTAAACTATGCACAATCTTGACAATTGCCCTGCAGAATAGTTTCCAAGCAAAAGGTTCAATTATGAAACTGTCATGTACAAAGCACACCACTCTTCCCTGCTGGCTTTGAATAATCTATCTAGTGTAGGATGACAACAGTTTCTCAATGCCTGTTTCAACAATTTCACCATACAGAAATCTAAAAGTATTGCAACAGGCAACTTGACCAGTATGTTTTCACATGGAAAAGCACAAATACCCATTTCATTCTCCAGTAGTTTGAGGTATGCAACAGCTGAATGGATATGTCATAAAAGGATCTTGTGTTGCTTTTCCAGGTAACATCCTTCTTAATTATATTGTGTAGTGTTCCATGAGACACGTGGACAGCCTTTGCCACTGAATTTGTATCTGTGGATTCTCACCTGTTACAAGATGCTATACACTGTTTACTATGGTTAGGGTATGACTTATTGCAGGTTTCTTTCCAGATGGTCCTGGTGCCACAAGTTGATCCAGAACGAATCTCCTTGTCATGGGAATTCTAAATCCCCAATCTGAATACAGCTTTATGATTTTAATGTATGAACATTTTGTGTTGCAAAGGGCTGTTATGTACCCTTACCAAAAGCTAGTAATTTTCAGTGGCATCACAATACCTAAGAAACAGCAAACAAAATTTAGTTCCAATACATTCAGTTCCACCACAGCTTTATATTAATTGTGGTTGTCACATTACTGGCTGATTTACACATTCAGAGCCATCTTAATATAATGTACACAAACCACACTGAAAAAAAATTACCATTTACAAAAAACTTAGCCAACTGTCTTTGTTACACAGTATCAAAGGTAAAGTTACATAGATCACCAACAAAGTTAACATGCAATATCTTACAGATAGATAACAATAAGAAAAGGCACTGTTTCTCGCTACACCTAACTGTCATAAAACAAATGATTCATAGTTCACTCATTCATAATAATACAGAAACAAGAGAATCTTCTGTACTATTTCAAGCTTTATTATTTGGAACGTGCTTTCTATCACAAGACTGGCTGGCTCCTTTGATTATTCTCATTTCCAAAAATCTTTGTGACCAAAGATAGATGAAAGGTGCTCAAGTCTATAAACTAGCAGACATTTTCAACAGTAATAACCAGCATCTTTTCTGTACAGAGGATCCAATATTATGTATTAAAAGAAGGAATATTACCTAAATATTCAAATTAGAAGTATTTTTATACTTTATTAGACTCAACATGATTGTAACAGTCCCTTCAAACAAACTTTACATCACAATTTAAAGAAATTAAAAAAAAAGTAATCCTTAACGAGTGTTCTGTCATGAGAAACAATTTCTTACTTTAAGAATTCATAAATCAATTGAGGATTTTGAGGAATTCGTGCAATTGCTTTATGGTAATTTCCAAATTTAAGATGTTTTACTGAGAGATAAAGTAAAATGTAATACATGTGTATATAAAAAATAGCGTTGAGAAACTAGGTCAATATTAAGTAGCTAGAGAGTAGTGGTATTTAGAATCATAAGTTACAAAAGAGTTATAAAAAAATGATGCTATTGCCTAACAACGAAGTAGATGCACTAGCACCAGTGATTCACAGTAATTAATTACTAATGCCAACTCGTTAGTACTGTGGAAGCTACGAAAAAGTTGATGTTAACACACAAAAGTGGTACTTTGATGATATATTCCTTACACGACGCTAGTGTACTAACACAAGTAACAAGGCGACCGGTTAACTCACCATAACAGTAACCAATCACTTGAGAGTTTTGGACTAGCCCAGGAAGTTGTACAGATAGATCAATAAGGTGTGAGAACTACTTGCAGGTAGTTCTGCATACTATTTGGTAAGTCGTAGGAACACGAAGAAAAGTTGCTTAAAAACTAATGTCAGAGGTAGAAAGTCATGTCTTTTCTGAGCTCTTCAAGTCTCCAAAATCTCCTCACACCTCCTCAGCAAATGTATCAAAAAAATGTTGAAGGTATCCAAGCTACAGAAGTACACCTCGCCAATAATAGAATTTCTGACTCTCAAGTTTCAATTAATGTGGTTAATAGTAAAAGTTAATCTTGATTGTATTAAAGATATGTATTATATAGGTATTAATTGTTAATATGAATTAACAGTAATAGTATAGGTTATGAGAAATTAATGATTATTGAACTCATGTTGAATGTTATTGCAATTTGTTCAATGTTAGTCTTGGACTCTATTTCTGTATTCTAACTGTAAAGTACCTTGAGTTAGTGACTTGTGAACTCCATTCGCCACTGCAAGTCCTCAACTAAATAAATTTGGTGTAATCAATAGTATGATTGAAACTCCAACAATTTTGCCCTAAGGACACTGCCTTTTACATTCAATCGCTGTCCACAACAGTTCTATGATAACACACAGGTGATATTTGTATTTTCAACTTGAGTAGCACCTTACAAAATACTTGGACTAAATGACCAGCTCAAAGACCATCCCTAATTCAGAACTGCTGGCCAGAGAAAGGTAAATCTCACAGTTATGTGGCTACTCTTAACCAAATAGTGGAATTGTCTGTAACAGTTATGATTTTGCCAAAGCTGAGACTGAGAAGTATGCTTAGAAGCATATAGCAGCTCAAACTCTGGGCCTAGTCCACACTCAACTTAAGACATTATCAACAAACAAAATCCTCCTGTAAGTACAGTTTAAATAATATCACAGCAATCAATCTTCCAGTTTCGTAGCCTACAATCACTTCATCTTTATTCATGATGTCAGAAAAACACGTAGGTTCAAGAAGTCTTAATATAAAATGATAAAAACCCTGTAACTGAGCACTTTCAAATGGTGGATCGTTCTTTTTCATGTGCAAACTGAAAAAGAGAGGTCCACCTTTTGAAAGTACTCGGGTTATAGGGTTTTTGATCATTTTATATTAAGACTTCATCTTTATTGTCACCATTACCCTTAGACAGCTGGTTCTGTTTTGGTGGGTGCAGGTCTATTTGTAATGGAAAACATTTAAGTAAACTTTATATCACTACATTGGAATGCATTAAAAAATACTTCAAACTAAGATACAAAGCAAATAAATGAATAACTCAGTGTAGCACAGTTTAAACAAGTAAAACCAAGGTAGAAGCTACAATTATAAAATGTATTCTAGTTTTAACCGGTATCTCTGGAAATAGGATCACAGTATAGATTCACCATCCATTAGTTTTAATCTCTATTCAGTAGTTCCAGAAACTGCATAATAAAAAAATCACACTAAAAAACAAAAAATATCAACCCTACATCTCACATGTTTACAAGCTTTTCTGGTATGCAGACAATTAGTTACTTACAATGTAAAGGAAGATAAACCTAGAATTGGTATTCTCGAGTCTTCACTTTCGAGCTGTATGCCAATCCTGTTTTTTTCTAGAAACTTCAACAAACCTCCAGTAGCTCTGACCTATCATAATAACAAATATATGAAACATTTTGACATGCTATCATCTACAGTAGGTTGAAATATAGTAATTTATTTTCACTCTTAAAACCATTAATATCTTACATCAATCAGCTTTTATTCACTCTTTTGTCTGTTGGGTTACAATAGAAATATATAACATTTCCAGTAGAGGCCAGCATGGGTACTGGAAAACTATGGACACCTTAAAACTAAGATTATACAGGACAAATTAAGTTAAGCATTCTTAAAAAATAAAATCTGTAGTCTGTGGAATTTTAATGTTGATGTTAATTTAAAGACTTTTTAATTAGGTTCTGATTTGAAATGTTGGTAATAATTTATTTTGTAATCTGAGTTGTTTTTTTCAATTTAATATAAAACTAAAATTGAAAAGGATTTAAATTGAAAAACAAAATCTGTATATTTTACATAAATCTTAAAGTCTTTATTGTTTTCTGGTTTTTATAATTTTTATTTTGAATAGTAAGTAACCTGTGATGCTATGAAACCTGTAAAATAAAAAAGTTTGGTAAAATACAAAGGATTTGAGTTTTCTTTTATATACACATAATTGATGTTCATTTGTTGGAGAAAAAAAGATTGTTTGTTTGTTTGTCTGAAGTTAAGCACAAAGTTACACAATGGGCTATCTGTGCTCTGCCCACCACGGGTATCGAAACCCGGTTTCTAGCGTTGTAAGTCCGCAGACATACCGCTGTGCCACTGGGAGGCAGAGAAAACAGAAGGTAAACTTATTTCTGAAGAAGATAAAATGGACTTTAAGCAGTTAAAATCCGACTTCTTCAAACATTCAGATGTTTCTGTCAGGTTCACCAAATGACCAGTTCATTAAACACACAAACAACAAAACAGTTACCATGGAAACATTCGTGAAATCAAGGAGGGAAGAAAGGAAAATGTGGCGTTCAGCATCTGTGAGGTTGGGAGGCATAAAAGGAAGATTTATAAAGTCCAGTCGCCGTTTAGCAGCTTCATATGCTACAGTATATAACAGGAATATAAAAGATACAGAAATTAGGGATATGAGGTTAGATTTCTGCAAAATACAAGACTTTCTTCACGTAGACACGTAAAAATAAAATCAGTTATACTCTCACTACATTGTTTAACAACAAATAAAATACAAGTTAAAAAACATAAATAATATTTATAAAAAATAATGACATTTCTTGCTCATACTTATATTTCATACAAAAAAAGTATAATAATGCTGTCTGTATTTATAAAATCAATATTAATTACTTATTTGACCATTTACAAAACTTAAAGCCACAGACATAAGGCTGAGAAAGGTGATATTCGTTTGAGGGATTATGGGATGCATTTTGAAATGTTTCCTTGCAGTTGTAAGCATTTTGAAAGGTCCATTATATAGGTTAGTGTCAAGTTCTAGAAAACGGGAAATGTTAAATAAGTTATTGAATTTTTAATCACTTCAGTAGGCTTGTGCCCATGGCTTTAAGTGAAACACTTTCTCCGGTGTGTAGAGCCAACAAGGAAGATACTAGATACATCAAGTATTACTCACAGAAATCAATGCTGGGCATCACTTGAACAAAACTGTCAAGTGTAAGAAACTCCTCACTGTCTGTGTCTTCCTGGTCTGGACTCTGAGCTAAATTTGAATTTTGAAAAAGAAAGTAAGATGCATGTTTTTAATACAGAGGAAACAGCAATGCAAAAAAAAATGAAATACTCAAAAGGCTAGAGTCTTTAAAAAGATGAACACATCTGTAGGTCTTTGGTTTATCTGTTTTTTGTTAAGCACAATGTTACTCAAGGCCTATCTGTGCTGGGCCCACAATGGATATCAAAACACAGATTTTAGAGTTATAAGCCTTCAGACTTACCGCCAAATCTCTGGGGGGGGGGGGGGCTGATCTTTAGCAAATGAATATCTACAGACAATGTTGGGACCTACGTTATTGTGCATTTTATCACCTACTTAGCAATTGTAAGAGAATGATGTTCAATTCTAAATTACTTAATGCACAGTTTAGAAGTTACAATCTTGGTTTTACTGATAAACAATAACTTAAAATTATGGTAAATACAATAACAACACTGTAATCTGACCTTTACATTACTATGGTTTACATTACTATAACCATTCTGGTACAGTAACAACACTGTAAACTAACCTTTACATTACTATAACCATTCTATATCTAACACAGTAATAACTGTACCATAGAGACTTAAGCCTTCTTTTCTTCCACTTGAACTTTTATACACAGAAGGATGCCATTCTTCATAAAAAACCTGCAATGCACTGTTGCAAAAAAAGAACACTAGCTCACTGAAGATAACAAAACTTAAACTACAACTAGTTAACAGCTCGTGTATATAGTAATGTATGTTCCCAGTATCAAATTTCACATAAGAATACTTTAGTCAAATGAGTTTGTTGAGTAGTACATCATTCATATGTTTACCCTTTACAATTCTTAAAAACTAAACAGACACAAACCTTTAATAAGCTTATTCTACTAATTATTTCATAACTGGGTTCTAACTTTAACAAAGTTTATCTTATCCATTGTTTCATAACTAAACATGTAATCTAACCTTTACATTACTATAACCATTCTGGTACAGTAACAACACTATAATCTAACATTTACATTACTATAACCATTCTGGTACATTAACAACACTATAATCTAACATTTACATTACTATAACCATTCTGGTACAATAACAACACTATAATCTAACCCAAAGTTTAAAAAAAAATATTTACAAGTAATTTCACAATGTTTCAAGTCCTTCTTTCTTTAATAACTGAAACAACTTCATTACAAAAACATTTTGTTCAATTAATAAATCTGCTTGTAAAAACACCACGTACCACTACATCAAATGCTAAGTATTCTAGTTTTGGAATTAAGATTTGCTCCATGATATATTTCCTGACCAAACCTCCTGTTATTCTATGGAACCTATCCTGTCACTCTTGGAGGAAACCACCTTAGAATACCACACATCTACTCTACTGAACCTATCCTTTATTTAGTCCACTTACCTAAGTTCTTTGCTACCTTGAGATGTCTTGCAGCGATTCAGTATACCTAGATTTGTATACCAGAGAGACACACACATTCATTACCAAGATTTTGAATCTTCATGTTTAAATAATTACCATTTGATACTGTACACCAATAAGTACAGTAATCACTATAAATAAATCAAATGATTTGTCTACAATATGTTTATTGAAATTGCATTAAATTGTTAATGCTTTCAAATAATAGGTGGGAAAGATTTCTGTAAAATTATACATAATATACATAGAGTAGATAGAGATCTTTTACAGTGGAAGGTCAAATTATTTCCCATGAGTATATCCACATCCTGTTTCACTGGAAATGACCAACAATCATGTGGCCTATACCCACATCGTAAGGGAACTATCAGATTTCTGTATATATATATATATATAATACTGTTTTTTCAGTCTGGAACAACTTCTAAAGACCTAGCTTCTAAGACTTCAACCACTTCACACTATACACACTATTTTCATTGTGTTGGTGAATGTGAATAAAGATTTTTTCATTGTATTTTAAATTGTGTTCAGTCTCTTTCTTCCTTAAACTCAGTCAAAGTCAGAGTCAGCGGGTGACTGACTCAGAACAATAGGTAGCTAGAGCAAAAGGTGTGAAAACTGCATGTAACTGAAAGAGTGAAAATTTTGAAAAATTCTATTTTATCACAAAGGGGTAGCAAACACATAGTATGACTACATACCACAAATGAAGCAGCACCAAGAAACTTATTTTTATGAGTAAGTTTGATGGAAGAAACAGAAGATTCCAATACATACAAATATAGTAGATGAATTCAAATTCGGAGAAGAGGAACCCACTTTGAGACTAATAATGCTTGGAGACGGCTTGAATGGGTAATGAAGAAAAACTTTTAATATAAGTTTAACATAATAGCAAATGTACAACGTTTCGACAAGATTTTGGTACCTGATGATGACAAAACTTTGTTGAAACATTGTACATTTGCTGTT